ACTGTTATACAATGGTTCAGATCTTACCTCACTGACAGATCATTCAGGGTGTCTTGGAGGGGTGAGGTGTCCAACCTACAGCATCTAAACACTGGGGTACCTCAAGGCTCTGTTCTTGGGCCACTTCTCTTCTCCATCTACACATCATCTCTAGGACCAGTCATCCAGAGACATGGATTCTCCTACCACTGCTATGCTGATGATACCCAGCTATACCTCTCTTTTCATCCTGATGATCCCTCGGTTCCAGCTCGCATTTCAGCCTGCCTGTTGGATATTTCACACTGGATGAAAGATCATCATCTTCAGCTGAACCTCGCAAAAACGGAAATGCTTGTAGTTTCTGCCAACTCTACTCTACACCATAACTTTTCAATCCAGATGGATGGAGCAACCATTACTGCATCCAAAATGGTGAAAAGCCTTGGAGTAACGATTGATGACCAACTAAACTTCTCTGACCACATCTCTAGAACTGCTCGATCGTGCAGATTCACACTCTATAACATCAGAAAGATCCGACCCTTCTTATCTGAACATGCAGCTCAACTCCTTGTTCAAGCTCTTGTTCTCTCCAAACTGGATTACTGTAACTCTCTACTAGCTGGGCTTCCAGCTAACTCTATCAAGCCTCTTCAACTGCTCCAGAATGCAGCAGCACGAGTGGTCTTTAATGAACCTAAACGAGCACATGTCACTCCGCTGCTACTCCGTTTGCACTGGCTGCCAGTTGCTGCTCGCATCAAATTCAAAGCTCTGATGTTTGCCTACAAAGTGACTTCTGGCCTTGCTCCTTCTTATCTGCTCTCGCTTCTGCAGATCTATGTGCCCTCCAGAAACTTGCGTTCTGTGAATGAACGTCGCCTCGTGGTTCCATCCCAAAGGGGGAAGAAATCACTTTCGCGAACGCTCACGCTCAATCTGCCCAGTTGGTGGAATAAACTCCCTAACTGCATCAGAACAGCAGAGTCACTCGCTACTTTCAAGAAACGACTAAAAACTCAACTATTTAGTCTCCACTACACTTCCTAATCTGTAATTGCCTCTCTGAATATCACACTAACTGTACAAAAAAAAAATATATATATACTAATACTACTAATACTCCCCTTCTTAGACTTTACAGACCTGAAACTTGCTTATAGCACTTATTCATTGTTGCTCTTGGTTGTGTAAATTGCTTCCTTGTCCTCATTTGTAAGTCGCTTTGGATAAAAGCGTCTGCTAAATGACTAAATGTAAAATGTAAAACATAGTAGGTTTATGGCCAGACGGAATCTGCAGACATTTTTTGCTATATCTGCTGAGAATTTTGGTAAAAATCTGCGGATTTCGGTGGAATTATTTTGGGAGTATAACTAGTTATAATTAGATAACTAAAACTTTAATATGTGAAAAAAAAAAAAAACTTTAACTTTTAATGTTTAAAATGCAAATCCAATTAGATCCACTTTATTTGGTAAACAAAGCAAGTCTCTCATATGATATATCTACTAAAAGACAGAAAATATTACTATAAAAACGGCATTGTATATAAATCAGATGAACATTTTCATATTAGTCAATAATATTGGTGTAATTAATTTTAAAAAACTGAGTAAATATAGATTTACACACATTTACAAAAGTAAACAAACAGAATTAATGATGGGCTAAAAATCTGCGGAATTCTGCGCACGCAGATTCCGTGTAGGCCTACTTTATAATCAATGCCAAGACAAGTCAAAGGAGTTTCCCACAGCTTCTGAAATGACTTGGATTTTCCTTTTAATATATGTCTAAACTTTTCCTTGACTATGGCTTCTTTAATCAGGATTATCCAGTCCTTGACAAGAGGGAGTTCTGTCCTGACACATTTATTCATAATTTAGTTGTAATTTAAATGTAATTATTTTATTTATTTATTTATTTATTTATTTATTTATTTATTTGCCTTCAGAGTTCACTGGTAAGTTTTGTACAGTAAATATGCTGACATATTACAAGTGAGAGATTTTTGAATGAAGGAAGCAATACTTGATTTTAAAATAATTGAAGGAAACACACACTATCTATGATTCTTTATTAAACATTAACATTGAACAACTGAAATTAAAGCATACATTGCCAGTCATGTGACTCCACACGTGGTAGGGGATGTAATTGAAAAAATGACCTAGAAAATGTAAATTTGTGTGTTCAATTTTTTGTGTATTAATATATTGGTGTACTCAAAAGCTCAGGAAAACAATATTTTGTGTTTTATTTAAATTTGTAGGAAATATTTTTGTTTTTAAGTATAATTTTGTAGCTGCAAGCTGCCCAATGAAAACATGCCTTCAGAAAGTTAACAATTAATTTGGTTTGTCAAGAAGCAGCATTTATTGTGTAGATAAAAACATTCATCATAGCTAGACCTTTACAGAAACTCCCAATAAAATCATTAATGCTGTAAAATAAATCTCTTGTAATGTGTTTGCAGTTTGTTGAAAATGACAACACTTTGAGAGAATGCAAATTTCAATAAGTATTATATAAGAGAAAAGAAAGCATCAGGAATTTGACAACATCTGAAAGTGAACAGCTATGTTTAACTATTGCATAAAAATCAGCCATCTTAACAATGTAAACAGACAAAAATAATTAATTGTCACAACCGATTTGCTTCACTGGCATAGTAACATCAACCTGAAAACATTCAGAACAATCAGGAAACCGAATTAAGTTACTTCAGTGCTTTCTCATTGCTTTTTTAACATTGCTTGATGGCTTACTCATATTTCAGCATCCATACTTAAATCATTACTGATTTTTGTGCAAGAAAACCAAGCATGTCCACTGTTTGGATTCAAATGCATGCTGATATGCATCTACATTTATTAATGTGCTGAAAAGTCTTTCAGATAGTGTGCTAGTGTCAGGCACAGCCGCAAAGAGAGACACTTTTGTATTACAGGTCCCATGAAGTAAAATTTATTTATTTATTTTTTTTTTTTTTAGACGTTGGTATTAGTATTATTCATTTTTAGCATAGCTATAAGATAGTGTGCTTCAAAACAGTGGCAAAATTCACGTTAAAAGATATAAATCTGATATAAATTTTTCAATTTGCAGTTTGTTACTTCACGCCTAAATGGATCAATGGGTTTATTCTGTCACCTCATACTATGATTTCCCATTAAATTAAAAACTGTTTCTTTTCTTCCCCTTACCTCCCAAAGCTAAAGAAGTACACTTTAAAATAATCAATGATATTTTATTTACCCATCTTTAGTGTTTCTTAGACACAGAATGTACAATTAAATCTGTTGACATTGAAATGGCTGCACATTTGTTTGTTTTTTGACTGTTTATATAGCTGAACCTTCTGGTCTGATTCATTCGAGTGGTTAAACGTTTCCTTCAAGTTGTCCTCTCAATTTTCTCAAAATGATATTTTCTTAAGTTTATTAGGGGAAGATGTTAATATTCAATTTGCATTGACCAATTTTCTAGTTTTGAATTTTATATTTATGAATGCAAGAGCCTTAAAACCAAACCCCTTTTTTTTGTTTCCCAAAGGAATTTTAGTTATCCTGTAAATCTTAAAAGTTGGTAAAATCAAAATTTGGATGAAGACAGTTTAGTTCATTGAAAAAATTAAATTAAGAAGACCCGGTAGTGTAAATAATTTATTTATTTATTTATTTATTTATTAATTTATTTATTTATTTATTTATTTATATTTGCTGTGTTTGTATGACTATTCTATGTTTAAAATTGTATATTTTTTATATTTATAATATTTTATATTTATTTGTGCTCTGTTCTGTAAATGTAGATGAAAGTTGTTAATCAAATTTTGCCTTATTGTATTTGTGTTATAATGCAAAAAAAAAAAAAAAATATGGTATCCCATCAAATCATAACCAATCAAATTCTTTCTAATATCTGACATGTTTTCATCCACCTATTTTTATGCTCATTTTGGATATGTGCATAAAATATTGGTTAATGGAAACTGCAAGATGGACATAAAATAAAAAATGTGCATAAAAAAAGATATGCGCATAACTAAATAGGATTTTAATTCAATAAGAAAAGATGCGCATAAACTACAATGGAAACACTTTTACCGAACAAATTCCAGTATGCGCATTAAAAGGTCATGTGATTTTGTTATAAATGATGATGCATGTGATGATAACTGTGATGATGGAAATGTGTGTGAATGGACAAACCAGTAGGCCGAGCACACTGTAAAACATCTGAAATGGTGTTTTAGTCATTACAAAACGCCTTACCGTTTTAGTAATAGTGTTATTATATTATTAAATAACTTCAGAATCAGGAGCGTCTGTGCTCCGCGTCTTATGTCTTCAAACGCCACCACGTGTTCACTGCGTGTCAGCATTGCCTTCTGAGCCGTGAGCTATTTATTAAATGAAGAAAAGATTTACGCAGCTTCTACTACTGCAGCAAATTCCGTCTGTTAATAGTTGGCACCAGATAATCAGCAAGTGACTACTTTGTTCTCTTCGACTCATTGGATGGAAAAGCTGCTTTATGTACTTGTCTTTTATGTGATATTTCAGTTTTGCACAAAGTTAATTTACTTAACATAGCTACTGGCATTTCAAAGCTTTTCACTGGACTTTTATATTTCTGATTTATATGCAAATCGCAATATGCAAATATGAGATATTTGGAAAATGTTGAGATATTGTGCAGCCCCAGTAATTATTCAGCCATTTTTAGTAGTATTTAAGCTAAATTATTAGCCAATGCATTCATAAATTATTAGTATTATTATTATTATTATGCAGTGTTTCATCATTGGATTTGAGCTTGATTGGATGTAGTTAATGATCATGATTAATGACCTCACATGGGTATTTTCCTATTTAATAAGACTAATAAATGAACCTTCAGGAACCTCCAAAATAGATTTATATGTGCACTTTAATATCTTTTCTGTCATTTTTGACAAATTTAAAGCATCCTTGTTGATATCAAAGACCTGAACAGCATATAAGAGTAACTCATTGTTTACAGGGAAGGAAATGAACCTGGAGATGAGAAGACTGTTACCTACAGAGAACTGCTTCAGCAAGTCTGCAAGTTTGCCAATGTCCTCAAGTCACAAGGTAAAGTTACGATGTTAAACTGGTTAAGAATAGTTTAACAGTGACCAAACTTTGGGTTAAAGATTTGACACTGATGTTGTGTATTAAGGCAATGTCCTCTTGTTGCTCCTTTGCTCTATTTCTGTCTCTGACTGTTCAGGCGTGAAGAAAGGTGACCGTGTTTCTATTTACATGCCCATGGTTGTGGAGCTGGTGGTGGCCATGTTGGCCTGCGCTCGGATTGGAGCAGTCCACTCTATTGTGGTCAGTTCTTTGCCATTATCTCAGTATTCCCTATACCTGCAATGCTGTATTAAGCAGTCAGGTTTTTATGAAGCGAGTAAAAACGACGTATCTGTACATGTTTTGCAGGATGTGATCTTTATCAGACTACAACATTTGGATTCTGTTCCAGATTTGGCGCTGTTTCAGATATTAAATACACAAGACAATTTTGAACATTTGTGCATCATTTTATTGATTACATTTTTTTTCTGTTCACAATCCAGTTTGCCGGCTTCTCCTCTGAGTCACTGTGCGAAAGGATCATGGACTCTCAATGCTGTCTTCTTATAACAGCTGGTAAGGAAGACATGCCAGAAAAGTCAGACATAATTTACTCAAAGTATAATCTCAGCAGAGCTAATCCCAAAGTTAATCAGCTGAGTTTCAGCTCCTGCAAAAGAGCACTGCATTTTGCTTTGTTCACAAATCTATGGATTTGAAGCCGTGTTAATCGTATTACTATCAAGAGCTATTTAGCTTTCGGCAGCAATTTTTGAGCAGCAGTCAGAAAACTCAGAAAAATCAGAAGGTGAAGTTCAGTATTACGTTCTGGATTACATTTATATATAATATTATACAGTTTTAATCATTACCCCCCCCGACCCACCCGGAATTTATTTATATTTTTTAAATATTTGTCAAATGATATTTACCAGAGCAAGGAATTTTTTCACATTATGTCTGATAATATTTTTCTTTTGGAGAAAGTCTTATTTGTTTTTTTTCAGCTAGAGTAAAAGCAGATTTAATTTTTTTAAAAGCTATTTTAAGGACAAAATAACTTGCCTAATTACCCTAACCTGCCTAGTTAACCTAATCAACCTAGTTAAGCCATTAAATGTCACTTTAAGCTGTATAGAAGTGTCTTGAAAAATATCTAGTCAAATATGATTTACTGTTATCATGGCAAAGAGAAAATGAGTTATTAAAACTATTCTGTTTAGAAATGTGTTGAAAAAAATCTTCTCTCCAATAAACAGAAATTGGGTAAAAAAAAAATAATAATAAACAGGGGGGCTAATAATTCAGGGGGGTTAATAATTCTGACTTCAACTGTATATAATAATTTATAGTCAACATTTGATAGTAAGCAAAAATTTTCCAAGAATGACAATGGTTGGTTGTTGAAGATACTCTTCTCTGCAATGATTGGTCTACTATTTATGAAGCTTTTTTTTCTGCTTCTGAAATAAATAAAAAATGCAAAAATGTAAATGCTGTTGGGAAAATATATATTTTTAAATCTCACAGTGCTGACTTTTACTCAATTCAAACTTTCTTCTTGGAAGTCTGAGATTACATCTTCCAGTTCAGATTTTGTTTACTTTGAATTCTAAATTTACAGGTATGTGCCCATTTTTTTATATATATCAACATGTTCAATAATTTGTTTCAAAAAGTGTAGCTTGTGTGTTCTATTTATTCACTACAGACAAAGTAAAATATGTCAAGCCTTCATTTGTTTCAATTTTAATAATTATGAATTAAAGATAAAAAAAACTAGTATTTAGCAAAATTAGAATATTTCATGTGACCAAAAAAAAAAGAATTTAAAACACATGTTGGCCTTCTGAAAAGTGTGTTAATGTACTGTATTATGTCCAGTCCTTGCTAATTACAAGGAGGCATGGCATGGAGGTGATCAGCCTTTGACACAGTTGATGTGCAACACAATCTCAAGGCAATTGGTAACTTTTTGATTTAGTGGCTAGTTCGTATGAATTTGTACGGTCTAATTCGTACAATTTAGTAGGATTTGCTCATCACCCAATGACAGTTAGGAGTGGGGTTGGGTGCCACGCCTCCTTTTTAAAATCATACTGAACTCTGAATTGACCACTAAACTGTAAAAATGTAAAATACTTTTGTTTCCTCATGAGATCAAGCTGGTTAATCTGAAGGATAAACAGAGAAGTAGGAAGTTTCCAGAACTTCGTCATATCTTTAATATCAACCAAGATTTTTAAACTAATTATTTTTATAAATAATTTTATTGATTATAAAGATTTTCATAACCATTTCAGATTTTTTTTAAATCAAACTTTGACGCTTCACTTGCTTTTGTTCATATTTTGGACATTTCTACCTATTATTATTTTAATAAACTGTAATGACAACAGAACATGGGTTGCTCTACAAATATCTTTTTTATTATATGAAGAATAAGCCATTATCACAAATAAAGTCTAAAACACAGGGCATCAGAATGTTGCAAACTGATAGGGTCAAATATTCTTTTTCAGTTATCAAATAAATAGCTCCTTAATTATAGTTTTGTAGCTATCAAATTACGTTAAATTCAAAATGAATGGAGAAAAAACCTATTTCTGTAATTAAATAATCTTTTTTGGATTTAACAAACTTATCCATTAGGTTTTTCCTAACTTTTACAAAAACTTGCTTCCTTTCCCACAGCTGTTGATTTTTTTAGCCAAGAATTATTGTCCATCTGGTTATCCCTATGATCACGCATGGACGGATCTCAAGGTGTCTGTATAGTCGTGCCTGTTTCAGACAAAATCTCTTCAAAATGTTTCATTGTTCGACTCAAATGAAACCTAGCGCCGTGCAAACTGTTAGCTCCAGTCTCAAAAATTTTTTGCGCTCCACCAGCCGAAATTATGTCGTGCGCACCCAAATCGAACCTCCGCAAACATCGTGATGACGTCACATATGCCGTGCTTACTCAAGCGAACAAGCGGATGTGTCGAGTATAAACCAGGCTTTATGGTAGCCCAAGTTGCATCAAGTGGTTCTTGATGCTCTGAAATTAGCCTCAGTCACCCTTGCGTGACAATCCTCTCAAGACTGCACCTTTTCTGGCCACATTTTTTCCCTTCCTCTTAACACTCTATTAATATACTTAGATACTGCTCCCTGTGAGCAGTCATCTTCTTTTGCAATTCCCTTGAAGACTTTTCCTTATCGAGGGTGCCAATAATGGTCTTCTGCACAACTGTCAAGTCAAGCAGTCTTCCCCATGATTCTCAAGCCTACCAAGCCAGACTGAGACAATTTCAAGGCTTAGCATTAATTAGTGGACTAGATTGAGACACAGAGAGCCTACAATGTTGAACTTTGTCATTATATTCTAATTTTGTGAAAAACTGGTTTTGAGTTTTGTCATCTTTAATCCATAATCTTTAATTGAAACAAATAAAGACTTGACATATTTCACTTTGTGTGCAGTGAACTAATATAACACACAAGTTTCACTTTTTCAGAACAAATGTGTAAAATATAAAAAATAGACTTTTAATATTTTTTTTAATATTCAATATACTTTGAGGTTTATTTATGAACTAATTTCGAGAGGATCACGTGCTTATGATTTATCACGGCCGGGCTCATATTAGCTAGTCATTATTTTTTAATCATATGAGCCCTAAGCTATTTTAAATAACCACAGTTTTCAGTCCACTTTATCTTCGTTTCAAAGAAACCCCCCCTTCCTCTACAATTCTCCTCCTTTTCCATTGATCGGGCGGCACAGCGGCCCAGTGGTCCGCACTCCGAGCCCCACAGCAAGAACACAGTCGGTCCCGCCTGGCCAGTAGGCGTTTCTGTGACGAGTTTGTATATTGTCCCTGTGTCTGCGTGGGTTTTCCCCGGGTTCTCAGATTTTCTCCCAGCATCCAAAGATATACATCATGCATAACAATCAAGCACTTGTCTAGCCCCTTTTCTCATGTGTTCCCTTAGCTACCGCAGCCGGGGAGTTCTTTTGATAGATCATCAGCTAAGTGTTAACTCTTGTAGATATTTAAATCTTTTGGCACTTACCTGTACATCTTGCTTTTATTATTATTATTAATATGACTATTATTATTATTATTATTGTTTTTTTTTTATTTGGCACAGTTCACTTTCTCATCACCTGTTTTGCACTGGAACCAGAAATTGTCAACTAAACCACACATCTGTACAGTCTGTTTTTATTGAACAGTAATGATTGCGCTCCTGTTTCCTGTTGTTTGTCGTGCAACCGTAAGGTGTGTTGTACAAAAAAACACCACTGACAAACCGTCGCTTTAGCACTGAGGGGCTGCTCACATATCGTTCACAATTCTCAAACAAGTAATTTATTTCATAGATGGGCGCAAATAAAGCAATATGGTCGTGAAATGTGTATAGGTTGTTTTCAATCACATGGTTCTGGTGACAGTGTGGTAGTGCTTGCATCTGATTTTTATTTAACACATTAACATATAATACACATAGCTAGGCCTGAAAAGAATCTTTTTTGGTGCTGTTAAACGAATTATCACGTTCAAAAAAGGTTTTACACATGGATGTATTGAATTATTGTTTATTACATGCCGCCTTTTCTTCCGCTTCCCCCTTTTATTAGCAAAAACTTTTGGAAGTCTATAAAAGCTGTTCAGCATGTCTTATAATAGCTGATTTGAAACAATTATAAACGACCTATTATACTTTTCAGTTATAACGGTAGACTAGTTGCCCCAGGCAAACATGGAACAGCCAAACACAGCAACACCCTTTTTTGGTTTATCCGTAAGTAAAACTTGTATCAGAGCTACTGCAGGGTGTAGTTAGAGTGCTGTTGATAAACTGGTGCACCAAACTATAGGATCCTAATACATTTTTTCTCAGTCGCTTTGGTGCGTTTCTCACAACACCAGTGCATTTCTGCACAACAGTTAATGCATTTCTCAAAACAATTAGTAGCAACTGCAAAACCTAGCTGATAACCTGCAAAAGCGCGTCACATGCTCAAAATGGATAGTTCATTCCTCCAAAACAAGTATTCATGTCAATCAAAGTGTCAATGTCATCAAAATGAAAAGTCCTGACACCATTGTTTATGAAGAAGACAGTCAAATGGCTTTGTCATGTTTTCATTATGTCAGTTTACTCTGTACATTTTTTTTCAATGCAAAAAGTCAGATTTTGGTGACACTGCCTGAAAAGGCTCAAGACAGCACTAAATACTATTTGCACAGCCTTTTGAAAACTACAGTAAAGTTAGACATCACTGCATTTAGTGAGGTGTCTGAGTACAAGACACTGAATATGTATGTTTCACATTTTTACTGCATTTGCTCTTTACAATCCTAATTTATTCACAGCATTGTGCAAAATAATAAACACACCCTTATTTACAACAAACATAAACTTCCTTTGAGCACAACTGTACACAATATTGCAGTACATATTGTAACTGAGCCTACAACACACACAGGTCTGTAAATCATTCATCAAATTGTTCAACTTTAAAGACATTTTCAGGAAAATAAAGATTTAAATTTGTTTTATAAAATTTGCTTGACAGATTTTGACAACTAGTTCATTTTTTATGTAAAGACTCAAGTAATGCAATGAGGACTATTCGTTTTATATGGAATGACTATTCAGCATTTATAAGTTTAGTTAATTTTGACTGACATGACATAAGCAAATGATAATGTTAAAAACAGCAGAGAGTTGTATGAAAGCAATTGATGCATGTCCAAAAGCATTTGCAATTTGTTGGAAATAATGAGAAACTGCTACTAGGATGTGCACAAATGACTAATTGTTTTGAGAAATGCATGACCTCTTGTGCAAATGTAAATAGTGTTGTGAGAAATGCACCAAAGGGACTGAGAAAAACTGTAACTCAATGCACAAGAATTTTCTAAATGTTGGATCATAACGAACATTACCCTTACTGAAATTAACCATACCATAGATTGCATGTTTGTTTGTTTGTTGCTCACCAGATCTGCACCAATGACGATTCATGTGAATGCACCTTTATTATGAGAAATACAAGCAATAAGTCAATATTATCAAATAAAAGAAGGCATTTGCTTACACTTTTTTATTCTGTGGCAAAAAATCCCAGATACTAGAAGTGTAGGTAGAGCCAAAGTCTTTGAGGCTGTATTAACTGAGATTACTGAGAAACTGAGATTAACACAAGGTTCATGAGCTTATTAGGGGCTTGGGAGTGAACCATAACCATAAAATACACATTTCAGCCGTGATAAGACCGTCATTTGTTATCAGCCTAATATAAATATACTGTCTTGTCCTTTCGGAAAGTGAATAAAAGTTGTTTCATTGTGTGTTTCTCTCTTTCTTTTCCTCAGATGGCTTTTACCGTGGTGATAAACTGATAAACCTGAAGCTTATAGCTGATGAGGCTCTCAAGAAATGCAGAGACAAGTATGATAATGACTAATTGACTAGGAAAAATGAGTGTTCATGCAATGTTTATCATGTACATACACAGTGGCCAATTTATTCATTTAGATTGACAAATGTGGAGCAATTGTAACGTATAACCTTGTTAGAAGATAAAATAAAAATATATATTTCGTGCATATTTTGTTGAGGAAGAAATACTAGAGTAAAATTATTTTCATTGCTTTCTTGCTAAGGCCTTTAGTCACACAGTAAAATATTTTAGATTAGATTAGCATATGTTATTACATTTTAAAGTCACCCTTTATAAATGTTTGTTTAGTTCAATTTTTATTTCTGTGATGTAGAGATGAAATTTTTACCAGCCGCTACTCTAGTTTAAAACAGAAATATTTTAAAGGGGACCTATTATGCCTAGTCTCTAATGCCCCCAGAGAATGTATGTGAAGTGTCAGCTCATTATACCCCACAAATAATGTTTCTAACTCTGGAACCGGCCCCTTTTAGTGCCATTTTTGTGACTGTCACTTTAAATTCAAATGAGATTTTCAAATGAGGGCGGAGCTACAGTTGTCATCAGTATAGGCAGCATAGTGACTGCCTCACACTCAGGGTTGTTTATGCTAATAAGGGAGCGATCATAAATGGGCGGGGGTTTCCCCCTCTGATGACATGTACAAAGGAAGAATGTCAATCAAAAGGTGTGTTTGACTTGAACCGCGGCTGCAATCAATGAGATTAGCCAAGCGGGGGCAGAGTTGAATAAGAGCAGTCAGGTCGGACACTTCGGGCATTGTAGTTTACTGCAGTCATGATGACCAATCACATGGCTTTATCATTTATTTATTTGTTTGTTTGTTTGTTTGTTTATATGATTGCAACAACAACAAAAGTGTTACAGTACAAATAAAACAGAAAACAGTCTCTACAAACTATAGTTAATTTTCAACAATATGGGAATTGTTCATTTAATTTAAATAGCCCATAACAAAGGTCTAATGAGAGAAATAAGAGAAAAAGGAGAGGGCACATGAAAAAGAAATAAATATGCTATCATAGGCCTATTAAACATAAAGCAATAAGCACAAAATATAAAAGTTTAAACATCACTCTTAAGCTGCGGTCACACTAGAGTTTGTGCGTGCGAAATTCTGTTGTACGGCACTGCGAAAAGGGGTGGGAATAAACAAGATTATTAGACATTAAAAAAGCGAGGGATTGCTTCAAATTTCTGTCCAGAGAGGTCATGTTTTGATCCTCGATTGGTCTCACGCAGTCAAGTGATGCGATTTTGCAGGTCAGAGTTTACCAAGCTTAAACTTTGCACCGCAGCGAACTGCAAAACTTAAAGCATGACCCTGCGTTTCCGGTCTGACGCATTCGTGTGCGTATGAATGGAAGTCTATGGGGAGAAAAGTCAAGTGTGACCGCAGCTTCAGACTATTAGATGTTGAATGACTGGTAATACTTGGTTTACATTAATGGATACAAAACTTTCCAATAATGTGCTTTATACAAAAGATTTATACAGCCTATATAGCTACACTTTCCGTAGAAACTTCACTGAAAAAAGCAAGATAAATTAATGTTATTTTTAAATTTCTTTATAATCAGTTTGTATATTATTATAAATAAATATCTAACTACATTTGTTAGAAAACCGTTATGGGGTGGCATGATCAATGATGACTATTGTCATCCAAGTCTAAGACTTGTATGAGTTGACATTTATTCATTAAAAATATAAATAATTAAAAGTGTTTATGGAGCTAAATACAGTAAATAGTCTGTATGAAAAAGTCGAAAATAAGCCTATGCAAGCAATCTAGCCTTTATAAACAAATTATTAAATAAAAACGATAATTACTGCGTAAAATATTTGTAGTATTTTAATAAGCATGGTATGTACAAGATAGAGATGACATAAAAGCATAAAAAGTTAATTGTTTGGAAATTTGTGAGATGGAAGTTGTCTAATAATAAACCTGAAACACACAGGGTTGTTGTCATGCGGTGAATCCAGCCAATCGTCTAATATCTGTGTCATCATCGCAGCTCCTGAAGTTGCTCTTCAGATGCTGCACCGGCTGATCTCGGAGAACTGTCGCGGTACTTTGATGCCACATGTGACAGTCATGTAGTGTCAGTGCAGCATCAATACGGACAAAATTTCTAACCGGCTTGTATCGCTTTAAGACAGATTCCTATTCGTCTGCACATCGATGTATGAAGTCGAACATATCTAATGTGTTTCCGCAAACTGTTTCTCTCAAACTTGATTATAAAAAACAGAAATAATTTTTACCAGTAGACGCTGGCTATATTCACACACTGTTACTACACTGCTTTGCTTAAACCCTGATTGATTTTTTTTACAAAATAGGTCCCCTTTAAGACATCATAAATGCCTTTGCTGTCTTTTTCAAACAATTTCAAGCAGTCTTGCTGAATAAAAGGGTTCTTGTATAGCATTTTGTTGAATTAATGGACACCCAAAATTATGTTCAATCATCTTCTCAAATGTCTTTGACTGTAAGGTCTTTCCCAGTGGAGAAATGTATAATGCTGAAACACCTCACCAAGGAGGATGAGGCATCTTCCGGCTCACTGTCGCCCCCAGCAAAACGAGCCTGTCCCGACCTACAGGTAAAAGCTGAAGCTCTGCACCACGGCCGAACAGCTAACAGACCTCACGTTTTTGCTTTTTTGTCTGAATTGGTTTCTTACACTTATGGACATCTCCACATTGCTACAGGTGTTTGTAAATTTATCCATCAGGTCTCGAGCTTATGTTAGTCTCAAGCACAGGAAGTCTTTTATCAATGAATCTCAATATCAGCAATAAATGTGTTTATATTATTTGTTACAACAATGGTTTTAAACAAGACGAACTTGTTTTCATTTTTAGCAGTTAAAATAAAAAATCAAATAATAATAAAATAATACATTTAAAATTGCAGTTTCCTACTAATGCTTTAAAAAAAATTTCATTGAAATGTATTTAAATATAATTTGTTCCTGTGGTGTTAAAGCTGCATTTTCTACAGTCGTTTTTTTTTTTTTCAGTAATCAGTGTTGCATGGTCCTCCAAAAATTATAAGTAAAATGAAAAAAAAAATAGTTTACTTTTAAAAATGTAAATTAAAACATTTATAAAAACACACCAGTATTTTATATAGAAGCCAAAATGTTCATAGTATTTTAAAGAATGATTAAAAATATGTTAGCGATGATAAATGATTAATCTTGTCTAATGACATTCAAAATGAAAGTTTGCATTTACATAATTTTCTGTGTACTGTGTGGATTTATGATGCACGCGTGTGTGTATATGTATATATGCATGCATACATACATACATTTGTATGCGTATATAATAAATGTTTATTCATTTTAGATATAAATTATATTATACATAAGTCATTTGTATGTAAATATTTTGTGTGTGTGTGTGTGTGTGTGTGTGTGTGTGTGTGTGTGTGTGTGTGTGTGTGTGTGTGTGTGTGTGTGTGTGTGTGTGTGTGTGTGTGTGTGTGTGTGTGTATATATATATATATATATATATATATATAAAATACATAGTGCATGTACATATATTATATAAACTACATTTTTATAAGCGATTAGTTACATTTAATTGTTAAAAACACAAAAAATATATTTTTAATTTGACTAAAATATTAATATTCTCAATAACTACTCCTAATGTAATAGTAAACCGTGATTACATGAAAAGATTGAATTATCAGCTTCAGAACTCTCTCATAAACACAGGCAGTAACCACTAGGTCACAATTTTGACACCATTCTGAAGGTTAAACATCTTTTTGTTGACTTTGTAATAAAAGTTAATAAGAAGCCTCACTCTTTGCTTATGAAATTCGTAGTGTTTCACGCACAATACTACAACACCTGAATCGGTGGAGAGTTCAGTGGAGCAGTTCAGACGAAATGCATTATCCCTTTCATTCTAATCTTTTAATGTTAACACTTGTCCTGTGCATCTTCTGCAGTGTTTAGTCTCTTTCATCGTCCCATACTTTAAAGATATCTCTGGTTATTTAACAAAGGCTTTGCATTACTGTTGTAAATCCATAAAGGTCTGGCATGATTTCTCTTGAGCTGTTGTGCTGAAGACCTTTGAAACTTTCAACGTATTATGTGTGACATTCATTAATGCAGGCTGACCCATTTTAATTTTAATGTTGTCAATGTGACCTTAATCCAAGAGATCTTTGCCATTTATTCCCCCTTCAGTGTGAGTCCATTTCTGTGTCCTTCTCCTCTTTCAGTGTGAGTAACCTCTCCATTAACCCCCTTTAGCAGGAGAAACAGAAAGAAAGAGTAAGGAAGGTCCGTCCCCCTCCACAGGTATTTCATGTCTCCTTTGTGTTTTTGTTTTTCTGATTAACACCAGTTTGTCTGCTCTCTTTCTCGTTCTCTTGGGGATGGTTTGAAAACTTTAGCACAACCCTCACTTTTTCACACAACTCTGTTTTTTACACTGTTGTGTGTGTATGTGTGTCACTCTCTGTGTTTGCTTTTGCAAATGCAATTCACTATTTACGCACTCATCAGACTTGGCATTTAAGCTATTAATTAAAGGCACATTCTGGCTTATTAACAACTTCTAGCTTTCCCAGTGCATGACAAACATCCAACACATTTTGTAAAAGTAAACAATTGAATTTTTAAAAACCGTTAATACTATTTTAAACACAAGCTGAGCAGTTACTAGCAGGGTTCATACGGTCATGAAAAACCTGGAAAGGTCATGGATTTTTGACATTGCATTTTCTAGACCTTGAAAAGTTTTGGCAAAGCAGAAAAACCCACAAAGGTTTGAAAAAGTCATGAAAAACAAATATCTGCATTCTTGAATATAGGTTACATTGTTTCCCATAGGAGTTTTTCCATCTGTGGTGGCAGGCCTTTTACACAGATCTACCAACTACGATATGGCAATATTTCAATGACAAATGTTGTGAGCACAGTATCACAAGTCGGGATCGCATTTATGTAATATGAGCATGCAAATCTCTTTGCTTGCGTGCCGATTTTCCTTGTTCGTGTACAAAACTTCATGCACGCCCTCATATCAGCTCAAGCGCAGATTTTCTTGTGCACTCCTAAATAACCGCTGCTGAAGTACAATTTAGTTCGTTAACAAGTATGTCTCCAGCATTTATTAGATTTGCTTGGAGTATTTATGAATGTCTTTAATAGACCTACAGAACGGCATTAATGCTTCCTGAAGTAAAGTGAAACGGCTATAAACTCCAGCAAGATAAAGTTTGTTGTACAAAGAACCATAGACCTTTATCTATAGACGAATTACCAACCTACATCACACATGCTGTCACACGGGTCCCCGTATATGGTAAAAAAAATTACCAGCTGCAATAGTAAACATGTTGTTTAGTGCGGAAGGATGCCAAATTCAACTGCAGACGTCTTTGGCTAAAATTGAGCTGAATGAAGTGACGACCTAATTAGAAATGCGGGACTCTGCAGTTCTTATGTTATATCAGGTAAGTTCATGCTATGCTGAATCATAGACATTACTCATTTTCGTTCTGTAATAACCTGCAAGTGTGACTTGAAAACAACATTACCACTGTTTATTTGACTGAACATGTTGTACTTTGATAGTCATTGGCTGCTAATTTGATTTCGCTATTTAGAGTTAGAAAGTAATACTTTCATGAAATTATATTATTAAGGAATGTGCGAATATAAAACCAATTTTACCTCTGTGTACGTTCACATACCTTGCCGTACAGGTGTAGTACTAGGCAGATCCTCAGTTTTTAGCACTACATATTGTTGAATCTGGTAATCATGGAACATTATTCATGCACATGACCACACAGAATAAAAATGTTGGCATCCAAAGACTTGTAGGGCTTTAACTTCTCTCTAGTAAAATCACTTGGAGCTTCAATGAGATTGTATATTTGGGGCTGGATGCTTGGTCATTTCATCTTATCCAATATTCATTGGGAGACTGCTATCGCAAATGAACCTGTCAGATGAACGCCGCTCACTTTAACGTTAATTTTGCTGAATCACTACGCTTATCACTTATAGTTCGCTGAAAGCATTATGTAAATAACATATATAATATGTAATCAATATATCTTATTTCTAAGACAACAACAAACTCTGTACCGCATCGGATGTCATTCACTGGCTGTAAATGCTTGCGCTCATGTTTTTTTTTCGACCACCTAGCTGCGTGTGCATCCTGTATGTTTACAAACATGATAATTCGTCTATAAAGTATAATCATTGAAACTGTTCATCCTAACTGAAAGCCATACATCTTATTTGCTGGCCTCACGCATTACGCACATGTCAGTCAGTCATCCAGCATGTCACTGTAAAGAGTAAAACAAATACCGTACAGCACTACAACGGTTACAGAAAAGTTTGTGCTGTTATATTTCACTTACCTTTTAATACGTTTTGGTGCGATTTTATAACCTGCTCTTAAAAAAACAACAACTGTTTTGAATAAGATGCTGTGATGTAGCCGTGGTGGGATGAATTTTGGTGTGGCGCCTCGCCATGGAAAAATGAATGCAGCGGAAACCTTGGGTTAGTTGTCTTGACTTCTGTTCTGTTCTTGGTCAATCACATACTCTCACATTATTAGTGCGGTGTAAGCATTATCCAAATCAATTTTACATAGATTTAAATATAAATTGAAACTAAATGCTGCCTGTTTTACGATATGCTGCATTAAATTTGAACATGCATTGTTTTTCTTTTACCATGCATGTGTAGACATTGCATGAAACATTGTTTTTTTGGGGGGGATTTACTTGAAAGTCTTGGAAAAATCATGGAAAAGTCATGGAATTTTAGTATTAAAAATATGATGAACTGATTTGCTAGAAATGGTGTAATTAACAGCAGACCACAGATGATGTATTCAAAGGGTCTGTAAAAGAACATTGGTGGCCAATTATGGAAACTAAAGTAAGCAACTTGCAATAGTGTACACAACTCCTCCAGAATTGTGATGCATTCCATTTTAAGCTAGAATGATATACAGCAAATCAATACTTTATTCTAAACTGAACCTTTTATTAATGTAAAATGGTGCAGATTGCTTCAGTTTGATAGGACGCATTTGATTCTGCTACTAACTGCTGTTTAAATTATTGTTCATCTTTTCAAAGTTGACATTTTGTGTGTATGAAAGAAGAATTGTGACATGCCTCAATATCTTCCAGATTTTCGCGCTAGAGGAAGTGACACATTTTTAGCAAGTCCCAAGCTTTCTCTGACAGTGCTTTAAATATTATTCTTTCATTTATTTTTTTTCGGCTTAGTCCCTTTATTTATCTGGGGTTGCCAAAGCGGAATGAACTGCCAACTTATTTAGCATATGTTTTATGCAGCGAAAGCCCTTCCAGCTGCAACCAATCACTACAAACACCCATACTCTCCCATTCACACTTATACACTACTGACAATTTGCGTGTCTTTGGTGGTCTTGTGGGCGAAACTGGAGCACCCGAAGAACAGCGCTACCCATTGCGAAATCGCGCCACCCACTTTAAAGGTTATAATTCCTTTTAATTATAATGGTTAATAATAAATATGTTTTACAACCGATGTAACAGCGTTGATCAGATCATTGGGACAGAATGTATATTATCACTGAAATTACAAGAAATTCAGAAAATAAGTTTCATGTAAATGTTGATTTAACTTATTATAGCAAACGGACACAAAAATACAACAATTAGTCTGAATAATTTAAGATTGTATGAATCAGGATTAGGAAACAGTATAGCAGGAGTTTTTAAGTTTCATTTTCTAGACAAATTGTTCTTAATAAACATAAAACTTAATATTTAGAGACAACATGATGTAATTTGCCTTGTTGTTAAAAGTGGCTGCGAAGTCGTGTTTTGCACACGTGCGCTTTTCTCATAATAATAAAATAGATGCATGTAATTTGGTAGTGGTGAGAAATCAGCAGTTAAGAAAGGATCTGATCATATATAGTTTGAATAAAGTACAAAATGGCATTTTTTATGTGATTTCACAAAGTCCTTTACATGTAAATCAAACTGAAGGCTTTTAGACACAATCTAGAAAGTTGGCCAGGGTCTCTTTTATTTATTTATTTATTTATTTATTTTTTATCTTTTTGAGTTACGTTACAAGTTGTTCACATGTTGGCTATTGAAAGCAATTCGTAAATGAAAAATCCTACATGGACCTTCATTATGACTTTAAGTTGAAAAGTTAAGGATTTTATTCATGAAAATAATCCAGTGTGCCGTCTTATGAGTGTTAATTCTGACTGTAGAGTGCCTGGGATGTCAGTTTATTATGGAAGCCTGCTTTCTCCACTGAGTAACAAAAATTAACAAGTTTTTATCTCCCAATTGTAACTGTGTATCACAATTGGACATTATGACTTCTAATTGTGACAATAACTCACAATATTGTCAAAATTCCACAACTTCACATGACTTGGTATACAGTTGAAGTCAGAATTATTAGCCCCCCTTAAAATTTGTCTTTCTTTTTTAAATATTTCCCAAGTTATGTTTAACAGGGCAAGGAAATTTTCACAGCATGTCTGATAATATTTTTCCTTCTGAAGAGTCTTATTTGTTTTATTTTGACTAAAATAAAAGCAGTTTTTAATTTTATAAACACCATTTTAAGAACAAAATTATTAGGCTCTTTAAGCTAAATTGTTTTTGATAGTCTACAGAATAAACCATCATTATACAATAACTTGCCTAATTACCACAACATGCCTAGTTAACCTAATTAACCTAGTTAAGCCATAAAATGTTAAGCTGTATGGAAGTGTCTTGGAAAAAATATAATAAAATATTATTTACTGTCATCATGGCAAAGATAAAATAAATTGGTTAGAAATGAGTTATTAAAATTATTATGTTTAGAAATGGGTTGAAAAAAATCTCTCTGTTTAACAGAAATTGGGGAAAAAATAAACAGAGGGTCTAATAATTCTGACTTCAACTGTATATCTTTTTAACTGTGACATTGGTTTTTTGCAACTTTACAGACAACAATTCAGTGTTTGGGGTTAGATGTTTTATTATTATTTTTTTATTATTATTTTATTATTATTATTTTTTTTCTAATCAAGACTTTTAATAAAAAATATGTAAAAACAACAGCATCATGAAACATTATGCATTTTGTTTATTAATGAATACAAAGTTCAAAAGAACAATTTATTTCAAAATAGAAATATAAGTAAAATCTTTTTTTTCTTTCACCTGATTGATTTATTAATCTTTTTTTTTTTTAATAAATGTGTTTTTTATGAGGTAAAATGCTAGTAATCACACACTTTTAAATGAGTATTGTTTTAATATTTCTTAAAGTTGCAGTTTTTATTAGCATTGCTTTACTCCAAGGGGGAAACAGGCTTTCATTTTGTAGGACTGATTTTAGTAACACTTCCAAAAAACTTTCAATAACTGTAAAATGCTGAATAGTTATCTAATACTTCACTACATTCAAATATGTAAAATATCAACAACTGATCTGTTCAGCATCATAATGTTTATTGATGGTTAATATGAAGTGTTTCTATATAATCTAGTTACCAATTCTGATATATGATCTAGCACTAAAAACGTTTTTTTTTTTTTTTTTTTTTTTTTTTTTTTTTTTTTTTTTCTCCCCCCTCAACAGTAACCTCTCTATTAAATGACTAGTGTTTCCTTGTGACCATTTTCTAAACGATTTCCTTGCATTAACTTCATTGCTCCACTGGAGCAGTGTTTCCCCAACCCAGTTCCAGGAGGTACACCAACAGTACATATTTTGGATGTCTCCCTTTTCTGACTCATTCATTTCTGGAGTCTTTTACTAATGTTCTGATGAGTTTATTCAAGTGGGTTTATTTAGGAAGACGTTAAAAATGTGTACTGTTGATTTGCCTTCAGAAACAGGGTTGGAAAACACTGCAGTAGAGCACGATTTCATCACAAATGTATCTGGGAAGCTGTTTTATTACAGTAGTGACTAGACTGTAATAGTTCTCTCCTGTTTAGTAGAAACCTTTTAGGTTCAGACTAATTGATTTGACCATTCTCTCTGTGTAGTCAGACACTAACTCTTTCCTATGAGCCCTGTGTTAATGCTTTCATCACTTAAAGGGATAGTTCACTAAAAATGAACATTCTGTCATCATTTGCTCACCATTTGCTTGTTTTAAATCTTTGAGTTTCTTCCTCCTTTTAAACACGAAAGAAGATATTTTGGAAAATGTAATAAATTTGTAACCATTGACTCCCGTAGTGTTTGTACTGTGGAAGTCAATGGTTACCGGTTTTCTTCAAAATATCTTTGTTTGTTTTCAACAGAAAGAAACTCTAGGAATCACTTGAGGGAGTAAATTTAAATATTTTTTATATGCGCTGTCCCTTTAAATGAACTCCAAGCTCTCATATAGTTTTCCCTCAGTCTCCAAACTGCATGAAAAGTAGATCTTTAGACTTGAATGTTGTGTTTATGTCTCTCTTTGTCTTGTGTTTTTTGTTTTATTAACCACTCCTGATCTTTTTAGATGCTTTCTCTTTCAGTTCTGAAACGCCTAAAGCAGGCAGGCTTCTGTGCTGCATTCAGTTTGGTGACTGAACTGAATGAATTGAATATGTTCGATCAAAGTACAAGCCAACATGAACTTGTAAATAATGTATAACATGCATTATTGGCAAACAATTCTTTTCATTTCATCTCTTGCTGCTTTCAAGTCATTAATAAATGTTTGTATTTGAGAGAAATTAATGTTGGATCCACAATGACCTTCCATTATGAAGGAAATTAAAACTCTAATTTACAGAGAAATGTTTGTGCCACGTATTGACTAGGACATTTAAAAACAATTTTTTATTTACTTTTTGGAAAATACATATTTAAAAAGAAAAATCAAGATTTAAAGTAGTAAAAATAGTTTTTATATGCGATGTTGTCTGAATGTTCTAATGCATCAGCACTGAATTACATATTCTATGTATTCTAAAAGATATGGCATATGCAAAAATAAAGAGAAAAATTAAGTTATTAAAAATAATGTCAATTGAGTTATAAATTAGCTAAAATAAGCTAGAAAACTAAAGTAAAAATGAATTTGAAGTAATGAAATATAAAAAAATGAAACTAATCAGTAAATAACTAATATAAATAACAAAAATAATGCTGAAAAAAAATGATGGTTAGCTAAGCTTGTGAACCGTAAGTTCGTTTTACGCTGTACGAGCCATTGTGTTTTAATTAAAAGACTTTTACTTAACATAATAGCAATAATGAACAATTGGGATGTGCTCACAATACAAAAAACTGGAACTAATAAGAAAATAACTACTAAACATAACAAAAAAATTATTTTGAAAAAATGATGGGAAGTTTGTGAGCCGTAAGTTCCTTTTTCACTGTACGAGCCACGACCCTGTGAGCATCATTGATTTCCAATGCGACTTTTATATATAAAGGTTTGGGAGTGGGGGGTTGGCAGGGGTAAGGTTGGGAATTTATGGTTGAAGGGGTACATTAGTCTCAAAATAAATTATTAGAGGGTCCCATGTTTTGAAAAATGTTTTGGTTGATCCTCTGAGAAAATATTTAATTTTTTATAGCATTACATCACTAAGCCAAAGTGACAGTTTAGTTGGCATTGGTGATTTATAAAAATAATTTAAACTTATTAATTCTATAGATAGATAGATAGATAGATAGATAGATAGATAGATAGATAGATAGATAGATAGATAGATAGATAGATAGATAGATAGATAGATAGATAGATAGATAGATAGATAGATAGATAGATAGATAGATAGATAGATAGATAGATAGATAGATATGGCATTTTTAATCAAATTAAAACCTGAATAAACTACTAAAATATAATGTACCAGGTTATGTGTGTGATTCCTGTTTTTGAAGCTTGCTTTGAAAAAAAATGCTTGTAAATGAGGAACTGCAATTGCTTTATATAGATTGTTGCGTCATGATATAAAAAATAAAAAAAACAGAAAGCATTACCATATGATGGATTACCAAACTACGCTTTGTTTATGTAGATAAAAAACATTTATCTAATGTGTTTTTACAGCAGTTTAATTCAGTGGATGTTTTCATCTCAAACATAACAAAAAGGTACAGTGCACAAGGGTTAAAAAACAACAACAACAATAAAACGCTTGAGCAGACTTTACAATTTACAAACTTCCCTTGATTTGAAAGCAGCATTATTATTATTTGTTTTTCAAACCAGCATTATTTTCATTTACTGTCTTCTCAGGGTGAATTGATAACACAAGCTTCTAGTTTTTTTTCTTTTGTTTTCCAAAGTGACACCAGCAAGAGCAAACGCCATTTACTGAAGCTAATGTAATCTGAACGCTGTCTGTGCTGTGATTGGTGCAGGTGCCGTGGAATCCAGAGGTCGATATGTGTTGGCACTCTCTGATTGGTGGAGCATCGGAGGAGTGTGAGCCTGTCTGGTGTGATTCAGAAGACCCGCTCTTCATCCTCTACACCAGCGGCTCTACTGGAAAACCTAAGGTGCTTACTCCAGGCAATAACAGCTCTAATGTCTTTAAAACAAAGAACAGGAAAGAGTATTGTATAGAAACATTCATTGTTTTAAAGGGTCACGAAACACCAAAACAAATTTTTTGAGCTGTTGACAGTCGTATATGTGTCCCACACTGCTAAAAACACTATTAGGACACCTATATTTCACTAAAAAGTGTAAATTGGTTGTTTTTGCGTTATTTCAAGCAAATTCGTACTTCCGGTTTGAAACGAATTTTTGAAGCTGCGTCACGGTCATGACATAATAGCGTGTATTCCAGCGTGCAGACTGGGCGTCTGTGCCAGAGTGTGTCTTATTACGTCTTACAGTGTGATGCATTAATGCATGAGTAAGGCTTGGTTCAAACCAATCAGCGCGCTCTATTGTGCAACTTCATTAATATTCATTAGTGTCACCGTGTTTACACGACAGAGACGCCACGTTGTGTTGGCAAACAAGCGTGAAGTGTTGCTTTTATAGTTTGCTGCCGTTTTGTTTTCATTTTCTCTCTGTGAGAGCTCATCTGGAGTCACATGTGGATTAACAGTGTACGCGACGCTCGACAACAATAACTTACGTGTCTAAGGAGGATTATTGTTTACCTGAGAGCTGCTCTCATCTGCAAACGCTGAGATCTGGATTCGCTTGTAGTCTTCTCTTAATAAAGACGCGGCTCTAGTTGCTGGTGATTGTCCTGTCTCTACAGATTTGGTAAGTGAGCGACCAGTGCTCTGTGTTTATTCAGTTTGTTCGTATCGAACTAAGTTAACTATTGCACGAGTGTAAACATGTTAGCACCACAACCAAACTATAACCTCGTGTAGGGTTTTTATCGCATTTTGTGACCGGAATAACATGCGGCTTTCTGGCGCTACCTGCCGTGTGCATCTAAGTTTCCGGGAGATGCTGAGGGTTTTTTTCTCTCATTCGCCGTGCGGTGTCAAACATTGCATGAAAAATACACGCTTAGAGCAGATCCTCGAATCAAATATCTTTTTTGTCGCGAGGGGCATGAATAAATTCCCTGAATCAAAGAGCCAAACTGCAGTTAAAGTCCAACATTTAATAATTTGCCAAATAATTCGACTACAGATGTCCATGTAGGTTAAACACCATCACATTATCCTATGTGTGTATTTTGACTCTGAAACTCGCGCGTGCCCAAATAGACACTCCCATACCCTCCCACTTTAGTTCCTCCGACACTCCCCCCTAAACCGAGCTGGACACACCCACTTTTCTGACTTTTTCCAAAGTAGAGGTGTGAAAACACCCTGCTGAAACGAGGGGGTTTCATGGCCCTTTAAAACATGAAGGGTTAGTTCACCCCAAAATAACTTCTTTTTTTTTTGTCATTTACTTTTGACCTAGCTAATTCTAAAGCAATTTCATGACATTTCACAGAGAATAACATTGCTTTTAGAGTCTCTCTGTGTGAATTATAGAGCCTAGTTTGCTGTACACTGAATTCTGACAACTGTCATGTAACATGTAACAACACGTCATACTGTTCAGTAAGTTTGTCCTCCTGATTGGTCACCTTCAGATGAAGTTCGTTCAACCACACGATTCCAAGCTTACTGCTCTAGAACTTTTTGGCATGTTTATAAAATAATGGAGAGCCTGTGAACCGTAGGTTCCTCTCACACGGTATAAGCCACCACCATGCGTACATCACCAATTTCCATGCGACTTCAGATAAGGAAATAATCACTAAGAAGCTTGGATGACTGCAAAAAATGCACCACACACCACACTTGTGTCAAGTAGAGATTAACCGATAATCGGTTTTACGGTCTTTTTCCCCCTCTTATATTTAAGCATTTTATCAATATTTGGGTATCAGATTCGTAATGAAGTTCATTATTCATTGATAAATCTTATTGGTGTTTTGCTCCATTTTAATTAAGAAAGAGAAAATCCAACAGGCCTCATGGTGAACTGCATCTGGTGGTTCTTTGCCTCTGAATTGTGCATTTAAAATCTTACAAACCGCAAGCCATTGATTATACCTTATTCCTTGGACATTTGCTACGTTATAGAGCCTTTAAAATTAGTTTTGCTCTTTGCAGTAGAATATTCGACTGAATTTGTGTCAGTTTTGATGTGCTAGACTTCCTAGTCCCTGTATTAAATCAGCAGACACAAGCTGAGAGATAGCTCATGCAAGAGAGACTGTGTACATGTGAGTAAATGACACGGGCATATCTAATAACTTGGCCCACATGGAATCTGCGCATGCAGAATTCCACAGATATCCGCAGATTTTTAGCCCATCATTAATTCTGTTTGTTTACTTGAGTAAATGTGTGTAAAACTATATTTGATTAATTTTTAAATTAATTACAGTAATACAATTGACTAATATGAAAATGTTTATCTGATTTATGTACTATGCAGTCTTTTAGTAGATATATTATAAGAGAATTGCTTTGTTTACCAAATAAAGTGGATTTAATTTGATTTGCATTTTAAAGATTGAATAAAAGCTAAAAAGGTATTTCTTTTTTTTTTCACATATTAAGGTTTTAGTTATAATACTCCCAAAATAATTTCGCAGAAATCCGCAGATTTTTACCAAAATTCTTCGCAGAAATAGCAAAAAACGTCTGCAGATTCCATATGGCCACACTAATAACTCGTATATCATGTAGCTACCTCTTTGCAAATATTTTGTACATATTTTCACGTTGGTTTATTCACATTTGGTCTTTGGTGACGCACATGTCTGTTATCGAAAATTCACAAATAAAACAAGGAATTGCTATTGTTACTGCTAATGTTTAAGGGAAGCATGTTTATTTTGAGCTGTAGAAAACTGACTGGAACTACCTTTGCATTAAACTATTGTATTGCACACCTTCCAGCTATGGAATTCTTTATTCCAGAATAAAGATTTTCGACAGACCTTGGAATAAAATATTTTATTTTACATAATGTTAATTAATGAACTATTTGGATGTTCACTTTATCAAGACAATGTTGGCTAATCTGGGCAAAACCGGACTTTATTTTATATATAAGTGTTAGTTTAAAAGCAACTGTCTCAAGGCAAGTATGGGTGTTTTATAGTATTGGGCCAACTTTGAGAAAAGATGAGGATCCACTTCAAATGTTAACTATGAGAAAATTTTAGGTGTGGGTGGATGATTTGTTTGAAGCAGCAGATTCGGGTAATTTCATCATTAAAGATGTAAATAGGTTAAGTAGGCAAGTTGGGCTAATTAGGCAAATCATTGTACAGTTGAAGTCAGAATTATTAGCCCCCTTGAATTATTAGCCTCCGTTTATTTTTTCCCTAATTTCTGTTTAAAGGACAGAGGATTTTTTTCAACACATTTCTAAACATAATAGTTTTAATAACTCATTTCTAATAACTGATTTATTTTATCTTTGCCATGATGACAGTAAATAATATTTAACTAGATATTTTTAAGTTTTAAGGCTTAACTAGGTTAATTGGATTAACTAGGCAGGTTAGGGTAATTTGGCAAGTTATTGTATAACGATGGTTTGTTCTGTAGACTATCGGAAAAATATATAGCTTAAAGAGGCTAATAATTTTGTCCTTAAAATAGCTTTTAAAAAATTAAAAACTGCTTTTATTCTAGTCGAAATAAAACAAGTAAGACTTTCTCCAGAAGGAAAAATATTATCAGACATACTGTGAAAATTTCCTTGCTCTGTTAAGCATAATTTAGAAAATATTACAAAAAAAAAAAAAAAACATCAAAAGGGGGCTAATAATTCCGACTTCAACTGTATAACAATCATTTGTTCTGTAGACAGTCGAGAAAAAAAAAAAATATTGCTTAAGAGGTCTAATAATTTTGCCCTAAAATGGTTTTTAAAAACTCTAAACTGCTTTTATTCTAGCAGGAATAAAACAAATAAGACTTTCTCCAGAAGAAAAAAAATATTATAGGAAACACTGAAAAAATCAGTGCTCTGTTAAACATCATCATTCCAATACAGATTCCCCTTGAACTGTGCAATGTTTGCTTTTCATTTATATCTGTTATTTGGTCCTCATGCTCTGTCACTCCTCTAGGGTGTATTGCACACAGTGAGTGGATACATGCTCTACACCGCCTCCACCTTCAAGATGGTGTTTGATTATCACTCTGACGATGTTTACTGGTGCACCGCTGACATCGGCTGGATCACCGGCCACTCATACATCACGTATGGGCCCTTGGCCAATGGGGCGACCAGTGTGTTGGTAAGGGGAACACCCTGATAAGCATTATTTGTGTCAGATTTTTGCATAATGCCCTGTGATGTCACTTTTATTGTGTAATTAAAAGTATATTGACTCATTTACATTGGCACTTGTTGTTGTATATGAATACAAACTTGTAATATTCTGTCTCTAGTTTGAGGGTCTTCCAACGTACCCAGATGTGAGCCGAATGTGGGAGATTGTTGATAAATATCATGTCTCAAAGTTCTACACGGCACCCACTGCCATCCGGCTCCTGATGAAGTATGGCAGTGATCCCGTTCACAAGTGAGTTTGGGCTCTGTCTTTAAAGAACTTAAAGCATAACTTGTCTTTAAATACACACTTATATATTTTTACAAACTCCTTTAGTATTATTATTATTTTTAATCTTTTTTTAATCTTTCATATGATTAAAGTTCAATATTAATAGAGGTAAACAGTATTGTATTGTAGTTTTGTACAGGTTAATCCCATCCCCTGAGCCCTTGTTCATGAACTCAATTAACAAAACAAGAATAATAAATATGTAAATACATAAATCCCAAATGAAGTACACTAGATGTACTTAACCATAACATCAGAGAATAACTGCATATAGATAAAAAAAAAAGCTCCTTTAGAAGAGGAAAATATGTTTTTGATTATGAAAAGGATGAGAGTTAATTCTGCCTCAAGTTTATTTTTTTCTGGACATTTTAAATGGTCCTGTTTATTTAATTCATGGCCATCAAATATTTTGCTATCCGTTTACGGAAAACACTTACTAAATGTCATTCACTGTAACTATATATCAAAAATCTCATCAGCCATATTTTAGGGATATGCACTGTGATCCTCATATTAATTTAAAAATAGTCCTTCATTGTCAACAATAAAACTATAATAATTTAAATTATAAAGTAATTTTATTATAACAATCGATAAAAATACAGATGATTTTTTTACATACATTCTCTGATTTAACATTAATCCACCTGTTGTCTGATATGTTATTTTCATTTGAAACCTCAAAGTGGTTGCTTTATTTGCAGTTTATATGTGTTGTTTGCAGAGCTTGACATTAATACCCGCCAAATTTGGCTAGATTTCAGCTGTGGTGGGTTAGACAGACGCTCTCACTAGCCACTTTAGCTAGTTGAAATCATTTTTAAATTACCAGTGCTGGCTAGTCACTAAAGATTAGAATTATAATGTATGATAATTTGTCAATATGCGTTCAAATCAGTGGTGTAGTCCTAAAAAAAGGAGTGTACTATTACACCCGACCCAAATTTTGAATGAAAGTAGGCAAAGAAACGATGAAGGTCAGTGTTTCTTTGATTCATTAGCTATCTATACCTATTTAATGATTTCTGTTTAGCTAAAAGTGTCCCCTAGCAGACTCTGAGCTTGTTTAATAATTTTTTAATATTGAGGAAAAAAAAAAGAGTCAGTCAAGATACTTATAAGAATTTAGTTAACTTTTGTTTAAGTTACCTCAATTGGGCCTGTGCATATATGGAAAGTTAATGTAAAGTATGCATACTTTACATTTAATAGGTTCCTTTAAACATCAATCAGCCATTATTTTTGATTGTCACGTTCATGCCATGCTTGTTTTAAACCAAACTATTAGGAGTCCAGGCCCGGATTGGCTAATCGGGAGCACCGGGAGAATTCCCTTTGGGCCGGTCCGTTTTTTTTGGCCGTGAGGGCCGGTGTCCCTAGCTGCTTGCACTCTCAGCAGTCGCACTTTTTTCATTTATTTATTTATTTGACCATAGCTTCACTTTTTTTATTCATTAATTTGCTGCAGCGCCGCTCTTCTTATTTATTTTCTCGCAGCCTCGTGAGCAAAATGCAGCCTGCAGGTTAACTAACGTTAATGATGTAACGTTAACTATCATAATTCGACCCCAAACAGCGAATTCAAATAATTAATATTAATGAATAATACACCTGCTCAATGAAAATCAGATGATTAACTACATTAATAAATCTGACATAACTTGATCAGAAATCTAAAAAGGGGAGAAAAAGATTAAGCCATCAACAGAAAGTAATGCTGTGTCTTGCAGGTCACAGTCCAATACTTTTTTTTATTCTTGCTGCATTAGCGCTATAATGCACCAGTAGTAAACACGTTGCATTACTACGCCGTCCGACCCGTGTTCGAATCTCACCTAAAAAATTAATATTATTTTTTTTGTTTTTTTTTTTTTTTTTTTGTTTTTGTAATTTTTATTGTTAAGACATATAATACTGTTAGGGCTTTTGAACATTTGAATTTCTAAAGCAGCTGTTTTCTTGAAAAAGACGTGATAGTGTCACTAGAAACTGAATTGGAAATGACCTTATTTTAATATAGACAGTTGTGAACTGAGGTGGGCTGGTCTGGCTTGAAACTCCTGGGCTGAAAATGAGTCCCACTTCGGCCCTGTAGTAGTCTGTCTTTTGTTGCTATTATATACTAGTAGTTACCCTTTTAAATCGCATACTGCTACACAATTTTTAGGGCGGATCAGGATCAGATCTTTTTGGGGTAAACAAAGAAAAATGTGTTATTTATTTATTTATATATATAAATTAAGTTTAATTGTCATTTGTTGCTTTTTTTTAAGAACATTGTTGAAACAAAAAGTTTTTGCTTGTTTTGACACAATATTTAAAAATTGTGGTAAGGAAATAATTAGTTTGGTGTAGTCAGAGAACAATTGGGTAAATCCTTAGTGTTCAGCCCTAAAAGTCACGTGAGATAAAACTAATTGTAACGTGACACTATGAAACTCACTTGCTAATGCTCATTAAGCAATCATTCACAACACAGAAAAAAGTTTAAAGAATGAGGAGGCTTGTGGATATAACACATCATTTAAATCAAGTAATTTTAACGTCACGTTTTAAAGTCAAATTAATTCAAGTAATATATATTTTCCCAACATAAAAATTGTGGCTGTTGACAAGGACGAGTGGCTAATAATGTTGAAAAACTACAAGCAACTGTGGCCGGTGATCAAAAAAAGTTAATGTCAAGCCCTGGTTGTATGCATATAAAAACACTTTTGTCAAATTAATTGGATTCAGACACCAAAGTATGATGTATGGTCTGCAACCCTTATTCATCAAAGTTTTCTACACGTTTATGCAGTAATCAGGAATAGTTGGTTGGAAAATTACAGGATCTAAAAGTGTAAAAACACTAACTGAAATATGTAAAATTATTAAGAAAATTGCTTTTTCTGGTTTAAATAATTCTATATTTTTTATTTGACACATTGTGTATAAATAGTTTATTTATTAGAGTGTTTGTTTAGGAAAAAAAAGTTGATACTATTATGAATGTGTATTTGTGCTTGGAAATGTGAAAACACTTTCTCTTATTTCCAGGTAACACTAAAAAACCACCATATTAGATTTGACTTTTAATTTCTCTGTTACTGAATTGCATCTGTATTCTCTCATGCACTCTGTTGGCTTAAAAAGTCTTCTAACAGAGCACCATTTATAAATCTATTCACTGTGGACTAGTGAGTGTAATTGATGCCAGTGTGTGCCAGTTTCTGACCTGCACCATCAGTACACATCTCTTATACAGTACCAATATAAACATTTACTTTGTTTTCATACTTCCAACATTTTAAAATAATAAGGAAGTGTGGAACTTTTTTGGTCCTTGCATAGGCACAACATATTTATTTTATTTAGATAAATGCTGTCATTTAAAGCGATAGTTCACCCAAACATTCAAATTGTCATTTACTGACCCTTCACTTGTCACAAACCTACTTGAGTTTCTTTCTTCTGTTGAACACAAAAGATAATATTTTCAAAGGGGTAACCGTTACGGGTAACCATTGACTTAAATAGTATTTGTTTTTCCTACTATAGATGTTAAAGGTTACCAGTTTCCAGCTGTCTTTAAAATATCTTTGTTTGTGTTCAACAACAGAGAGAAAATCATAAAGGTTTGGAGCCAGGCTGAGTAAATGGTTCATTTTACAGTGAACTGTTCCTTCAAGTATTTGGATTTTTTTTTTTTTCTTCATTTAACTTATGCCTCGTTTTTGCTAAGCGGTACGGTTCACTACAGTATGGTTCGGATTGTGTCACCTTTTTCTAGGTTTGTGTCTCCGCTGCCTTTTGGTAGGCATGGTGTACGACAGAAAGCTATGATTGACCTCATTCTCACAAGTAAAGCAATACAGGTCCTTCACCTGTCTTATAAGATTAACTTCTCACAAAAAATATGCTTTATATCAGTGGTGGTCCGTTATCAGCGTTAACATGCTGCATTAACGTGAGACTCTTATCGGGTGATTAAAAAAAATATCGCTGTTAATCTGGGTTGGGAGCTGGGTCTATTTTACGCAAGCTATGATAACTTTTACCTTGATATATATATATATATATATATATATATATATATATATATATATATATATATATATATATTGGAAACGGGAGATGAGCCCCTGGTCTAATGTGCCACCTGGCTTGAGAAACCCGCTCTCAAAGACGTTTAGGCTGCATTTACGCTGCAGATCTTTATGGTCAATTCCGATTTTGTGACTGTATCCGATTTTTTTTGATTACCTGCTTACGACATCTTTTAAAAGATACTCGTATCTGATCATCTGCCATTACTCTGCACACTGCAAGGACGCAATGACCAGGAAAAAAAAAAGAGCGGGCGCTGACTAACAGCTGGTAATTAAAGTGTTCTTAACCCACGGGCAGATCATTTCAACTTTTAACTTTCACGTAATTCTTCACAAAGTAAAAACAAAACAATAGTTTTATTTGATTAACAATTTTTGTGAATTTTTTTTTTGACTAGAAACGTGACAGCAAAATATGTAAATATGTGTTTTTATAGCATTGTTATTTTCTATACCAGAATACTGTTACTGGCTACCCGGGAAACCATCAAATAGAGCTATTTAAACTATCTTGTGAAACAGTATTCATATCTTAGTATTTATTGCAGAACAATAAAATATCGCAATATCAGATTTTTCCAAATATCATGCAGCCCTAATACAAACTCATACACACTCTTACATTCTTCGAAGTATTAGTATTTACATGAAAATGACCCAAAACATACATATTTGTGTTAAAAACAAAAGTTTTACAATCAGTACAAACCTCTGATTATCTTTTATTCTTCACCCGCACCTGTAAACTCTTGTTAAAAAGTAACTCTGTCATTCTGAGTTTGTTCGGGTTTTAGGTTGCTAAAAGAATAATTTTTCTTGCTTGCTTTTTTTTTTTGTGTGCTTCACTCTCATGTTTATGTCCATTTCTAAATGAATGTAAGCTTAAATTCTTGGCATGTGGCTGCTTGTCACAAGAAGAAATGGTTTGTTTGAACTTGGGTCAACCATAGCCTATATGTTGTTAGGGAGTCATGTCTCGGCTGTGTATTTAAAAAGCATACCATACCATACTATCCTAACTTTTGACTGGTGTATTTTGTTTTATCAGATATAAGCGAACTTCCCTGAAGATTTTGGGTACAGTCGGTGAACCAATAAACCCTGAAGCCTGGCAGTGGTACTACAATGTGGTGGGCGAGAAGAGATGTCCGGTGGTGGACACATTCTGGCAGACTGAGACGGTACGGTCTATATTATAAAAGAAAGATCCAGTCAGACCAGAGCAGGAATAGTCACGCTGCTCATCTTATCTCCTGTAAAATCACTGGTCTTGTGTATATATCTTCTTCAGGGTGGGCACGTGATGACGCCACTGCCAGCCGCTACGCCAATGAAGCCCGGCTCTGCTGTAAGTGAACACTAGAACACTAGGAATGAGTAGTGAATGCTTGCAGTGTATGTAAAATACTTGGTTGATGGAATTGTTTTGAATTTTTTGTTATTCTTACAATGCTTGGAATTATTTTATGAAATATACAGTAAAATATGATTGTGAAATACTATAAGACTATATTATAATTTAAATTACACATTTTTATTTTTTATAGATGAGATCTGTGCTGATATTCAGGACAATTTACTGAATTTTTATATATATATATATATATATATAATATATATATATATATATATATATATATATATATATATTTTTTTTTTTTTTTTTTTTTTTTATATATATAACTCTCAGTGAATGCTTTTGGATACTTAAAATGTTTGTTTTGCATGGTGACTGAATAATATGCAATAAATAATATCAGCTTTCATTGGATTAAAAGTATTATTTTACATAATAAATATAACACACCTCTAGTGTCCACTAACTTCTGTATGGTGGTTAATATTTTAATTTTGCAGACATTTCCCTTTTTTGGGGTTGTACCTGCTATTCTGAATGAGTCAGGAGAGGAACTTGAAGGACCAAGTGAAGGCTATCTGGTATACTTTTCATATATTTTTAGGCAAATTATATGATTTTATTTTTAATCTTAATTTATCTTTAATTTACCACAAAATAAACTCTTCTCTTCCTCAGGTGTTTAAACAGCCATGGCCAGGTGTGATGAGAACAGTATATGGGAACCATCTGAGATTTGAGACCACCTATTTCAAGAAATTTCCTGGATATTATGTGACTGGAGACGGTAATTTGAGTTCCATTTTGTTTTGCTTAGTCTTTGCAGGATTTTGTGATTCTGTTGTTTTAGAATGTAATAAAGCTAATGCAGCAAAATTCAGAAGAGCATGTAGATTTTGTATATATTTTAGGCAGCCAGATGCACCATTTGTCAGTTTTACAGTACTGTCTTGTACTTAAAATAAACTCGTATCAAATTAATATGAAAAATACAAAAGAAAGAGTAGCTCAGTTATACTTAGAGCTTCAAACTGGGCAAAAACATATTTCTTATGGATACAAATATAAGTCAATTAAATTTTCACAAATAATAACTACATGGGTGGCGCAGTGGGTAGCACGTTTGACTTACAGCAAGAAGGTCGCTGGTTCGATCCTCGGCTCAGTTGGCGTTTCTGTGTGGAGTTTGCATGTTCTCCCTGCGTTTCCGTGGGTTTCCTCCGGGTGCTCCGGTTTTCCCAACAGTCCAAAGACATGCGGTACAGGTGAATTGGGTGGGCTAAGTAGTCCGTAGTGTATGAATGTGTGTGTAAATGTGTGGATGTTTCCCAGAGATGGGTTGCGGCTGGAAGGGCATCCGCTGCGTAAAAACTTGCAGGATAAGTTGGCAGTTCATTCCGCTGTGGCGACCCCAGATTAATAAAGGGACTAAGCCGACAAGAAAATGAATGAATGAATGAATGAATAACTACGTGGATAATATGCATATAAATAATAATTTATTGCACTGTATTTTTAATAATAATGGGCATAACAATGCAGAACGCCTAATTGATTGAACAAATAAATGCAAATATATTGCTACATTTCTTAACCAGAGAGTTGCATGTGGAGAGGAAAAAGGAGTATGGACCCTATCATACACCCGGTGCAATGCGGCGCAAGGTGCGACGCAATTGTTGTTTGCTAGTTTCAGCTCATTTTGACCTTTTGCGCCACACTCTTTAAATAGCAAATGCATTTGCCCTCATATGTACGCCCATAGGCGTTCCGGTCTAAAAAGGAGGTGTTTCAAGGCGCATTGCTGGCGCGTTGCTATTTTGAGGAACTAAAATAGACTGTTCAATAGACCAGATCAAAGCAGGATGTACAGCAATACGCATATATCTTTACAAACGAAAAATAATTAAAGGATTAATTTAATATTACAAAAATGATTATTTTCTAGCCTACATAAATATAAAAACCTTACTTTCAAGCCTTCTTCATCTTTGGGGGCTTTTTCTGTTTATTCATGACAATTTGCTTTTGTATAATGTTATTATTAGTAGCAGTATTATTTATTATTTGCATATTTTTGTTTGTTTTATTAAAAACAAGCTTAGATTTGACCACCTGTCAGGTTTTAGACCAAATGGGACAAAGCATTTGTATTTTGGATATAACTTTTTTGACCACACTTATTACTGATAATTTATTCATTTGCTGGAAATTAGAACTGAGTTTAGAAATAATTGTGAAACAAATCTTTGCGCTTAACAAATTAAATTAATTTTTTATAGGCTAATGGATGTCTGTGTACAACACGTTTCCCTATCCACGAAAGTGAAAATAAATAATGAGGAGGTTCATCTCACATTCTCATGCTGTAGATGCTCTGTTTAACTGTTTTCTCGTTAGTGAAGCGCTCAGTTTTTCCACTTGCAAAGTCCGCCAAATAAATTGCAAATGCGCTATGGCGCGACGCAACTGTCTCCTAAAGGGAATGGAAGATGAGATTCTGATTGGTTTTTTCTCAAAACACACCTATAACTCATTAAGAGAATAAAATAAGCTCAACCCTGGCCTGTTAGACCATGCACCATGGCACAAAGCTTATTTTTCCGCCCTTAAAATAGCAAAAGTGGATTCTGACATGCCCTTAATGCTTTTGTGCCATGCCCTTTGGACTTTGTGCATGGATCATCAAAATAGAGCCTTATGTCTCCTACACTCTCAGACAGACACTCGCACTAGCCACTTTGGCTGGTTGAAAATAATTTCAGCAGGATTCGATTATGGGATGACAACAAGGGTTGGACAATAATATGCATGCAAATGCACGCACGACTGACAAAAAAATTGTGCCTGTGCAAGCAAAAGAAAGCAGGTGAATTCTGAATGAGAGGATGGTCTCTGGCATGCACTGGTGTGATGCTCGCTCCCGTTTCCTTGCGTGAAGCAACCGTGTCTAAAATGCAACTGATGCGATCGGTTCTCTTTCAAGTAGACTGTACAAAAAAGCAACACTGCCCTGCTGCTTTCAAGAGTTCCCAATTTTTTTTTCTATTTGGAAGCGGACATAGTTGCTGCTTTTGCTTAACCATTCTTTGAACAGATATTTTTTTTTAACCGTGATCATCCTTTCACGATCACACACGGTTTTTATCCTGCTTTCTTTTTATTGCTGTTATTTTTGTTAATATGGTTTAACTATCATTTTTTTTGCAATAACATTGCTTTAATTTAATTGGAGATCAACTCCCTATTTATGTAGAGTTAACTGGTGATCTGAGATCTTTAACCAGGACAGATTATTGTGCGTAGTTTTAAATGCACGACAATAATAATTTAAATGTTAATATTTTATTTTATTTTTTTTTTTAAAGAAAAGTTTTGCTCAATAAAGTGCATGCATACAGTAATATTTTGCTTGTTTTAACATATTATTGAAACTTTGTGGCTATAAAGTATTTATTTATTATTTATTTGTTTTTGGTGTGGTCAGCGATTTTAAATTTGGTAAATCCTGAATTTTGAGCTCTGAAAAGTCATGTGAAATAAAAAACTATTGCAATGCAACACTATGAAACCATAACTATTTGATCAGAGCAACACACAAAAAAGCTAAATGAATGAGCATGAGCAATGGGAATGAGCAAAAAGTCATATTTATGCTTATAAAATACATTTTCCCAACAACAAAATTAAGTAATAATGGTGAGTGGCTAGTAATGCTGGAAATCTATTAGCCACAGTGGATGGTGATCAAAAAAGTTAATGTCAAGCCCTGATTCTATATAATTTCATTGCAAACAACCCAGGAAATGCTGCAAAAATTGAAATGAAACCATTTAAAACATTTACTTCAAACATGTAAATCAGACAAATGTCACATGAGCCTCTGTTTATGTAAAATGGATACTGTACAATAGTTTGAAGTCAGAAATGGATTGTGGTTTATGTAACCATGTGATATGTTTCTCCAGGTTGTCGCCGAGATAAAGACGGCTACTACTGGATCACTGGACGAATAGATGACATGCTGAATGTTTCTGGTGAGGAAAGGATGACGACATCTGTACATTTCAACAGAAAATTTCTCCTGTTTTGTAATTTCCCCAAGAGAACGAGTGGCGCGGACCCACAGATGTTGAAATAATCCAGATGAACGAGTTTCAAAGCAAAGTTGAAATGATGAAATCCAGGCCACCAATTCCAAACATTAACCTCTTTACTGATAGTACTCTAGAGATTAACACAGCATTAAAGTAGCCTACTTAGAAGAAGTAGCAGTGGAGTAAAATGCCTTGTGATGGATGTGTTTGATTCAGGGCACTTACTGAGCACTGCAGAGGTGGAGTCGGCTCTGGTGGAGCATGAAGCCGTGGCGGAGGCAGCGGTTGTGGGAAGGCCTCACCCTGTCAAAGGCGAGAGTCTCTACTGTTTCGTCACCCTTAATGATGGAATAAACTACAACCAAAAGCTGGAGGCGGAGCTTAAGAAGCAAGGTTTGTGTGTTCAATTGAGTAGTTCAGTGTTTCTCAACCATGTTCACTGCATGTTTTGGATGTCTCCTTTGTCTGTCACACCCATTCTAAGTCTTTCAGTCTCTGCTAATGAGCTGATGATCTTAATCTAGGGTGTTTGGTTAAGAAGACGTGAAAAATTGTGCAGAGCTGGAGGTCCTCCAGAATGTGGTTGAGAAACACTGGGGTAAATTAATTTGGACATCCTATATTATTTCATTTAAAGGCACTGATTGATAGTTAAAGTTGAAACTGCTGTCTTCAATACATTGAAATAATTGAAGTAATATGTAATTGAGGCAATGTCAAACTTAATATAAAATATCTCAGAGGTATCATAACAATAACACTATATATATATATATATATATATATATATATATATATATATATATATATATATATATATATATATATATTGTGTTACATCTTCTGATATCATTAGATTTTGTGATGACACTTTAGGTCACAATTCACAATATTAACAAACTACTAACTTACACTACTAGCTTAATAAACTACTAATTAGCTGTTTAATATTAATTAGTAAAGTAAAAGTTTTGGGTAGGATTAGGGATGCAGCATAAGATCGTGCTTTATAACTACTAATGAGCGGTTAATATCTTGATAATAGGCAGGTAATAAGCCAGTAGTTAATAACATGAATATTGAGCTAAACTAAAGTGTGACCGTTTTTGTTTTGGTCAGGGTTTTTGCTTGTTGTTTTGTTTTTATGCTGATAATCTTGCTAGCAAAAAGCAGAAAAAAGTTTGATCAAATGAATTTACCTAAAAAGCGTGATGTATCAAATAAAAGTTGTTACGTTGAGCATATTTTTTTAAACTAAGTTGTTTGAGTAAATAATTCTTTTAATTAACTATTTTTTAAAAAGCCTGCTGTAAATAATTAGCAAAACTTAATTTTCTTCAGATAATTAGATATTGATCTTGAAGTATCATTAAAATATAAAAGGTATTTATACATTTATTTATTAAAACTTAACTTAAATATTTAATGATTTAACAACAAAGCATGCGTTTAGGGGTTGTTTACAATTATACGTGCTTGTTACTTGCTTAAGAGTATCAGGCATTAGAATGCATGCAAGTATATAATATAAATAACTCATGTGATCACGACTTCAAAAATATATCATTAGAATTTGATGAAGAACCAATATCTAATAACTTCTTTGTCCTCTTCAAACAGTGAGAGAGAAGATTGGTGCCATTGCTACACCTGACTACATTCAGAATGCTCCTGGCCTTCCCAAAACCAGATCAGGTATTATTACACTGTTTTGCCGCATTTCCACCAAAAAGGGTTGAGCTTGACTCTCTGTTGAATGCTACTTGTTTACAGCGAATCGGTCACTTACATCAGGTAAACGACAATACAGAAAACCGCACAGCAACAGCAAGCTAGCATCGCTTACACAAATCCTGTCTAATCTTGTGACAAATAGCCACATGCCAATAAGCAAGAACAGAATCTTCTGTATGTTCTTTGTTATTGTTTACAAGGCTGTTCACATTTCAGGTCAAAATGTGTGTAGAAGCATTTGTGTGTTTTCTGCACATCTACATTTGAAATAATGAACCTGATAGTGCTAAGAATGTGAACGGCCTGTATGGCTTATTTATTGAGCGAGAATGTCATACACCACGCCTGCCGAGTACAGTTGTACAATTGTTGGTATTATTATTACAATGTTTTTGCGTGTCTACAAAATGTTTTTTAATTTAAGATTTTTTTAGATATTTGTACTAGAAACAAGACAACGAAATCTAAGAAAATCATTTTTTGCAGTGCGTTTAGTTTCTTTTCTTTTCTTTTTTTTTTTTTTTTTTTTTTTAGAGAAAGCTTTAATGTCTGACAACTCTGCTTTTGTTCAGCAATTTCCACTTCACATCGTATTCAAACATTGATGTTTGCCTTCAAAACAATCACTGCCTATTAGGAGTGGGACAAATATTATCAAGATATTGATATGCCAATTTATCCCAATATTTCTGGGCACGATACATTATCAATACTCTAGAGGCAAGTATTAATATTTATCAGAATATAAAATGATCAATTCATCAGTCTTTCACTGCTGTTGTTTACCGCTTTGGCGGCAGTACATGCAGATAACTCTGGTCTACATTTGCTCTAATACATTTAGCTACAAAAAAAATGTAACAATATATTTGCATTTATTTGTTCAATTAATTAGGCTTTCTGGATTGGTATGCCCACCACTGTTAAAAATACAGAGCAATAGATTATTATTTATATGCATTTTATCTATGTAGGGATTATACATTTGTGAAAATGTAATTTATTAATATGTGTAAAAAAATTTTTGAGGCTCTAAGTAAAACTGAGCTATTCTTTCTTCTGTATTTTTAATATTTATCAAGTATGAGTATATTTTAAGAATAAGACAGCATTGTAAAACTGACTCACAGTGCATCTGGCTTTTTGCTAAAAATATATAAAAAAGTATACCAGATAGCCTTCACTTGGTTCTTCAAGTTCCTCTCGTGGCTCGTTTAGAATAGCAAGTACAACCCCAAAAATGGGCAAATGTCTGCAAAATATTAGCCACCATACAGAAGTTAGTGGACACTAGAGGTGTATGACATGTATTATGTAAAATAATAGTTTTAATCACATGAGAGCTGATATTATATATTGCATATTACTCAGTCACTATGTAAAACAAACACATCTCGAGAATCCAAAAGCATTCACTGAGAGTTAGATAAAATATTTATATAATATAATATAATATAATATAATATAATATAATATAATATAATATATAAAATGATTCAGTCAATTTTCTTGAATATCAGCACATCTGTAATTTAGAGATGGGACTTTTTAGCCACAAACTGCTCGCTGCACATAAGCATTTTCAAGCTTTTTTAAAAGCTGTGTGCTTGTTGCGAGTCTATGAAATGTGCTGTTGATAAAATAAATACATCTCATAACTTCTGAATAATTTTTTTCCTCTTGTTTACAAATATCATGGTATACATGGATGGTTTTCCTGTGATATATCGCAGGATCCCTGATATTTGATAATCGGGATAAAGTATCATGATAATATTGTATCGTGAGTTTACCTGTGATTCCCACCCCTACTGCCTATGTGCAATTTTTCAGGAAATTGGTAAAGATTTATCATTCGTTAACACACTCTGACACTAGCATATCCTGTTCTGATTCCATTTTATCTTCTTCCTTTTCTTCATTTTAAAATCGTTGCTATATAAAGTGCTCTACTAACTAGTCACAGCACTGACATTTGTGTTAGTCTTTAGTTGCTTTCATTGCTTCTATTGTTCTTTGTATTAAAAAAAAAAAATCAGTGGTTCCCAACCTTTTTATCACAGCGGACTGGGGGGTGGGTCAATGTAGGTTGCTAGGTAGGCTACCATCAACCGTGTTCTTAGAAGATGACAAGCTGACAAAACATTGCTGCATCTCTGAGACAAGTTTTATTTATGGAGAAAATTAAAAAAACTCTGCAGTGTTTGTCTGAGATAATAAGTCTACCAAAATGTGTACATACAAAACATGAAGCTGATCAATCGGTTCTTGTCATGTGTCTCGCGGTACGTTTGTGTCATTCTGAAGATGTTTTCAACTTTGTTCGCCTGAAAGAGCAGTGCAAGGGGTTCGCACCTTCCAGGCAAACCCAGTTGAAAGCATCTTCAGAATGCCACAAGTGCACTTTGCTTTTCAGTGTTTGGAAACTTAGTAGTGATTATTATTAAACCACACTGAACTGAGCTAAACTGAACTGAACTTAAACACTGAAAAATGGACTGACACTGTTTCAATTTACTATGTTCTTTTATGTGAAGCTGCTTTGACACAATCTACATTGTAAAAGAGCTATACAAATAAAAGGTGAATTAAATTGAATACATTTTGGTGTTTAAGTGACCAAGATGAACTAAGACAATATGGTAAGTTTTAAAAATATGAGATTGTTCAGACTCCAATAATAAATAAAATGGAAATAATAGAGATTTCTTCTTTGGCCCGGTATCAATTGATCCACACATCTGTACCGGTCCACACCCGGGAGTTGGGGACCACTGTGCTAAATAATTCAATTGAACTCATACGAAAGTGTGTGTTTTTTTTCTCTCTCTCTTTCTCTCTCCAAGGTAAAATCATGCGTCGGGTACTACGGAAGATAGCATGTAATGAGCGGGATCTGGGTGACGTGTCCACATTAGCGGACAGCTCCGTCATTGAACATCTGTTTGAAAACCGCTGCTATACAGCTGTGTGACCACCAGAGGCACCAAACACAACGCCGCTGTCTGGCCCAAAACAAGCTTCAGATCTGCAAGGAGTACGATCGGGTGGAATTTAGGACAACGCTAGTAGCAGACAAAATGGGGGAAAATAAAAAATAAAAAGCTTAGAGACACATAAATCCTACTGCTGTCTGCCAACCTTAAGAAATCTGTAGGAAACCCTAAGTTTGACAGTGGCACAGAGTTTTAACTGCTTTTTTACAAGATCCACTTGTATATTAGAAATCGTTTTACCCAGAAGTTTATTTTTCTTAGCGTTCTTGTTTTGGTTGTTTATGATTTCTTCTCTTTTCTCCATTTCCTGTTCATTTATTAATCTTTATATGACTGCACTGTTCTACTGTGTGCCAACATAGCCTAAATAACGGGTTATCAGTTTGTTTTTTCACCACTAAAATGAGAAATCAAGACTGTATGTCTCTTTTTTTGTGTGTGTAACTTGTAACAGCGCTGTGTTAAATCGCTGCTTTGGTAGAAGGTTTACTTGTTTTAACATTCAGGCTAAATGTATAGAGCTTTCTATACAAGGCAAGGCATCCATTAACGTACCAAAATAACATGCAGATGTTTTAATTGGTATAAAATAAACCATGTTTATTTAAATACTGGAACAGTTTGCGAAAGAGCTTTGATTGACTGCGTAAAGGCTGTTAGTCTGAAAATGTAATTAACCGGAGTTAATGCTCTGACCTTCATGATGGTTGGCGCACTGCATTTATCAAGTCATATTTGTGTTGAAATCTGCCATTTCATATTGTGAAGAAGATTTTCAGATGATTTGTTTGTTGGTGCATCTCTCATGCACCAGTATTGCATTTCTGGATTGTGTTTGTTATTTTAGTTGTCTGATTTATTTTCTTTCAGCTTGGCATTATTTTTTCAGTGCGTTTCTCAACCCTCTTAACACTTACAAGCTTATATGATGAGCGACTGAACTTTTGAAATTAAGACTGTTTTTTTTTTTTTACCTGTTATTTTTCTTTTCATTAATTTTCCTTGTAATCAATTCATTTGAGCAGACTAATGTCTCAAATAGAACTGGGTGAATTAAAGTGCTGAAATGCAAACAAAGTGGACTCTTTTATTTGCGTTACCTAAATTACTCATGTGTTTCTACATATTACTTATCAGACCAATAATTGATGTATGCAGTGTGAATTAATTTTATGAAGAGGTTACAAAGAAATGCATTGTATTAGAAAAATTATAATATTTTCTTCTTAATCAGCTATTTAAATGATTTGAAGGTTGATATGAACTGCGGCTGTTGAATATTTAGGTTTCCCACTGCGGTCACATGTATTAATTGCAATTTAAGATGTTTGAACTAAAATCAGTTATTTCAAAATGTGATGTGTTACAATATTATTGTTTTGTCTGGTTTATTCCCCTGCAGAAAAATCCAGCTTAAACCAGCCTAGGCTGGTTTTAGCTGGTCGACCAGGCTGGTTTTAGAGGGGTTTTGGCCATTTCCTGGCGGGTTTCCAGCCATTTCTAGCCTGGTCTTAGCTGGTCAGGTTGGAAAATGACCAGCTAAATTTAGAAATGGTTCTGCCTAGAAATGGTCAAAACCCCTCTTAAACCAGCCTGGTGGACCAGCTAAAACCAGCCAACCAGCCTGGGCTGGTTTAAGCTGTTTATTTCAGTAGGATCATCCATTCATTTTCCTTTGGCTTGGCTTCAGCGGAATAAATCGGCAACTTATCCAGCATATGTTTTACACAGGGGATGCCCTTCCAGCTGCAACCCAGTTGGAACCCTGTGGGATCCATACACACTTATTCAAACACACACTATGGCCAATTTATCTTCTTCAATTCACCTGAACCTCATGTCTTTGGAGGAAACCCATGCCAACTAACTTCACAAAGAAATACCACCCAGCCGGGATTCAAACCAAAAACCTTCTTACGCTAAGGCGTACAGTGGTAATTACTGAGCCATTGGGTCACCTTTATCTGGTTAAGTCTTTATTTATTTTACATTTTAGTTTGACCAATTTTTACTATTCAAACTAACTAAAACAGCACTATTTTCCAAAATTATATTTAAAAAGACATTGTTTTTGCTACAACCTAATGTTAATATGCTGTCAGCAAGTTTTGATCTTAAAATTGTCAAATTATTCTATTAAGCCGTTTCTTTTACATAAACCGGATGATTCACACATGATTCGGATTAATCGATTCCTTTTACAAAGCTATAATACTCGTGTCATAAGGGCAATTTAGCTAAATTAATTATGTCTTGTCATTTTTGGAGATACAAACTCGGATCTAAAACAACACGAAGGTTAGTGAAAATGTTTCTCTGCGACTAATTAAATACTTTTATTCATTCACCAATTAAAAAGGCTGTAATGTGTATAAATTACATTTTCTGCCTTTTGTTATTTATTCAGACCAAAAGTCAACCATATCCTCCACAAGATGGCGGTGATGCCAAAGTGTTCGTTTTAAAAAAGACCTCTCCACAAAGGATCCAAAACAGGTTTTATTGTCACTTTCCATTGCAAAAAGCTGCTTTTCTACATGAACTGCACACGTTAATTAACCCATAAGTTCATGTTTTGGTGCTCTTGTGCTGGGTAAAGAACCCACTGGCCATCTGTTATTCAAGCCGTGTGAAAGTGATTGAATAATTCATGCTACACTGCTCAGTTTGTGTCTGGGGATCGACTGTGAGGAGCAGAGGGCGGTTTGCGTTGTGCATTAAGGTAAAAAGTAGGTTAATGATAACGTTTTTAATTTCCCAACAAGAGATGATGAAGTAATGATTGGTTTAGCCATTTAGAAACTATGATACTTTATTTTAGGAGGTATTGGAATTGAATTAAGGGACAGTGCACCCAAAAATTAATCGTTTTTTTCTTCTAAATAAAAATGTCAATTAAAAAGGTCTTCTTTCTTCTGATAGACACACGCATACACAAAATATTTTTAAGAATGTTGGGAACTGGTATGCACTTGCTGTTTAAATCCAAAGATGCAAATTAAATGTAATATCGTTTCAAAATAAACTTAATAACGGGAATGTTGTGTAAAACATTTGAAAATAAAGCACTGTTTACATCCAATAAGTCAATGAGAACAAAATCATCAGTTTCTGCACGCTCATGGCAGCGAGGTAATACTATTGAACCACTTTGATAACAGACTTTAGGTAAGGCAGTTATGACAACATTTCAGATAATTTACAATGTTCCATCATGCCTGATCTGTAAAAAAAAAAAAAAAAAAACATGAAATTTTGATCACACTGTGAAAAATGCTGGGTTTCACACAATAAAGTTGTGTTGGGACAGCATGAAGGAATTAGGTTAACTCGTTAGTTTTTTACAAATTTAGGTGGATTGAACATAAAACAATCAAGTTGTCATTCAAAAAAAACAAATTATACAAATGAGTAGTAAATGCACATGCTGAAATGTTTTCATTTATATATTTTTATGTTTCTATAATATTTATGCAAATTTTTTTCTTATTGGATAAAAGTTTGCTTGTTTGTGCGCATACATTTTTTTCATGCAAATTTTCAAAATGTATGCATATCCTTGTGTTTTCATTAATCATTTTAATGTTATATTCCTAAATTTGCATAAAAATAGGTGGATGTGAACATAGCTATTGACATACAGTTGAAGTCAAAATTATTAGCCCCCTTTTGATTTTATTTAATTTTTTTAAATATTTCCCAAATGATGTTTAACAAAGCAAGGACATTTTCACAGTATGTCTGATAATATTTTTTCTTCTGGAGAAAATCTGATTTGTTTTATTTTGGCTAGATTAAAAGCATTTATTAATTTTTTAAAAAACATTTTTGGAACAAAATTATTTGCCCCTTTAAGCTAAATTTTTTTTCCAATAATCTACAGAACAAACCATCGTTATACAATAACTTGCCTAATTACCATAACCTGCCTAGTTAACTTAATTAACCTAGTTAAGCCTTTAAATGTCACTTTAAGCTGTATAGAAGTGTCTTGAAAAATATCAAGTAAAATATTATTTACTGTCATCATGTCAAAGATAAAATAAATCCGTTATTAGAAATGTTTTTAAAACTATTATGCTTAGAAATGTGCTGAAACAATCTTCCCTCCATTAAACAGAAATTGGTGAAAAAATACACAGGGGCGCTAATAATTCAGGGGGGCTAATAATTTTGACTTCAACTGTACATAGAAATATTATGGAAGTCAATGGCCACGGTTTCCAGCAATCTACAAAATATCTTTTGTGTTCAAAAGGAGGGAAAACCAAGTTAGGAACAAATCAAGGGAGAGTAAATAATGACATTTATTTATTTATTTATTTATTTTTATATTTATTTATTTTTATATTTATTTATTTATTTATTTATTGTGAACTAAAGCAGATATGTCCAAACTATGGCCCGCGGGCCAAAGTTGGCCTTTTGCAACCTTTGATCTGGCCCACCATTCCATTTAAGAAGAGAGGGAGCATAATGGGTTGGTGGTCTGGTGAATATCTTTGACAAATATTGTGATTTTGAATGTAATATAACCTTTTGTGTGTTTGTTTTGGTTATTTCTTTAGTTTTGTAAATTCATCAGAATTTAAATTTTAAAAAAAATTAAATACTGTCACTCGGTTGTTTTTGCTGTAATAAATTCATTTAACATTTTTTAAAAATATACTGCATTCGTTAATATAATTTAAAGCAATGTTTTCTAGATATTTTTTAATATTAAGAAATAAATTAGGAGATATCTCATAGAAAATTTAATGTACCTTAGGCTCACAGCCCTCAGTTAAGTTTGGTTTTTGGCCCTTAATTAGAAAGAGTTTGGGCACCCCTGCTTTAAAGTTTATTTTTCTAAATTCAGCTTAAGTATAAATAAAACATTTGTCAGCAGCTGCTCTACTGGTTTTACTCTCTCCATGATGATCATATAAACAACAGGCTGTGTGTATTTCTATATTAACATTTTTTTTCCACACGCTCACACTATTTTCAAATGATTTACTTTACTCTTATTTTTATAATTACCTCTTCATTTCACTTTCCATTCATGCCTTCGTGTGCTTTCATCTTCAGGCAGCATTGATGTTTATTCTGTGACACCTGAGGGAGGCAGGAAGCCCCGTGTCAGGTTATAGTCGATATTCTCCAGGAGGTTTTGCAGTACAGCTGAAACCTCTTCTGTTGTGTCTGTTTGGCTGAAGGGCATCATGGCTTGTGTTTGTGTGCTCTGAGGTGAACTGCAGAGAGAGACAGGAGAAAAGCAGAATTCACTGTGCAGTTTCATTTGACTTCAGGGTCTCTCTTTGTTGCTGGCTGCGTTTTAATAAAATATAAAGCTTCTTTTGTTACTTTTTTCTCTTTTTTTGTTACTCATCCTGAAGTTTTAAAAACATGAAGACATTCCAGTTTGAAACTCCTATTGTTGTAATACATGAAGTTTACAGACTGTGATACAAGCATTTATTTATATAGCATTTAGCATTCATATTTTTTATTTTTGCAATTTATATATATATATATATATATTATGCAGCAGTGATGCATTTTAAATTATATATATATATTCTTTTTTAAAAGTAATCTATAATGAAAATCATATTTTGAAAGACTGTAAAAAAAAAAAGGATGTCGACTGTATGATGATTGAAATCACCAAACAACCTTAAACAATCACTAAATGGAACTAATGAAAAAATAAGGACCGAAGGAAGGAAGGAATGAACAAACTAAAGAAGGAAAGGAAGGAAGGAACGAACAAGCAAATGAATGAACAAAGGATCTAATGAGGGTAGGGACAAAAATTATGAATGAAAGAATGAATGAATGAGCGAACAAATGAAGGGTGGAATGAAGGAATGAACAAATGAATAAAGGAAGGACAGAACAAAGGACTTAATGAAGAAAGGAACAAAAATATAAATGAACGAAGGACCAAATGAATAAAGTAAGGATTCAAGAAAGAACTGAACAAACTAAGAAAGGAATGAACGAATGAACAAAGGACCTAATGAAGGGAGGAACAAAAATATGAATGAGCGAACAAATAAAGGGAGGAACGAAGGAAGGACCAAATGAAGGAA